GCAGTATACTAGGCTCTGCATTTGGTATCTGAAAATCCTGTTCATTCTTAGCTGGACTTTCTTAGCATCCTTTGCTCCATGTATTGAAGTCACACTAGACTGAGCCTGTAAATACCACTGTGCTATGTATTGAGCAACATCAAACAACAAATTTGAACACTGATTCATTCAGTTAGATTATTGAAACAGCTGCAATATTTGAACTGCTGTACAATTTCAAAAAGTAATGTATCTGACTCTGGTTGTTTTAAATCTTTATATACCATTCCTCCTGGCTTGCCTGCCATGTTGTCCATTGATTTATAAGCTTTAGCACCACATACACTCGAACAAATCGAATGCTCTTTATTCCAATCAGCAATTTTAGCAGCCAACAAGAAGTGTCCCAGACTCTTCAGTATACAGTCCAGTCTTTCTGGTCTTTCAACAACTCACTTTGTCTTGTCAGTACTGTAACTATTTGGTGTCCTCCATCCCTTTTTGTTTTGTTTTGCCCTCCTGTTTCCACTGCCCGACTCTGCCTTATATCAGAGGATATTCTGAATATCCTTATCAACAGAAGTACTGTATGTTGACAAAAATTACACTGATAAGAGATTAAAGAGACAAATCCAATGGTTATAACATGCTTGATAACTTTGAATCACAGTTTTAGTTCAACTTTGCTGAGCCAACACAACACATTTCACTGGTAATGCGACTCCTGATATTTGTCCAAGTTCAGCGTCATTCTCGGCTTGATATGCTTTATCTTAATGAAGTGTTCTTCACATGTATCCCTTTCACTTCGCACACAGCATAAATTAGTTTATTTTTAACCTTTTCAGCAGTTGCATGATAACAAAAAAGCCACAGTGATGATGTCCAGAGTTACTCATGTTCATTTTTTTTTACTGTCACATTTTGGTTTGGTCCACAACAGTATAATAAGGGCAATCCTAATTTTTTAACAACACGATTTTCAGATACATTGTAGTGTAAAAATTAAAGTTGTCTCAAATGATCTGTCTCATATTAATCCTTGTTCTTAAAACTTGGCAGTCATTTAACCATGTTCTAGCCCTTTTGTGCAATCGTTATTTAAAAGGCTGTATCCTTATACAGATGTTGGGCAATGTAAAGAGATAAACAATGTTGTAGGTTGATATTTTTATAATATTTTTTCCATCACAAATTATTTTTAAAAAGTCAAGCACTATTTGTTACACTATAAGATAAATTTTAATGTTAGAATGGATTTTTTTTAACAAATTTTGTTAATACAGTTGGAATTAGCCTTTGCTAAATTACCTGATAGTGAAAAAGCTCAGTTTTGCCATTACAAAAATAACCTAAACATTTCAATAGAAATTTGCCATTTTTATATAGAGACCTATAGGTTATCTATAAGTTATTTTTTAATAATGCAGCTGTGCATCACACATGCAAAACATATTATTGTTGTACTTTCAAATATTTTAGGATGTGTACCAATGAATGTGTTAGGGGACTGTAACATAGTGAGAGGTGGTTCTCTTGGAAAGCCACTCTCTCAGCTCCAAGCCATTTCTTAACTTCCAGATAGCCACTGAGTAACCGGAACAAGCTGCAGAATTAGACACAACTGAGTGTAGAGCATTAGTGAGTGGAATTCCACTGGAGGGAAAGGAGAGGTTTCACACCCATGGCAGTGTCAATCAAGAGGCTAATAAAACAACTCCAGAACAGCAGGATCATCAAACTGGTTTATGCCGTTTCAGGGACACCAGTGGTTTTTATGGAAGAGCATCCCTAAACAATCAGACAGCTTTAATAGAAAGAGTCAAGGCTCTGTTGAGTAGGAAGTGGTGCTTTTGGGAGCAGGAACATTGGCAGCCCAGTATGTGATCTCCTGTCACAACTTGAGGAACAGAAGCTGAGTCTATCTGACGATGTGTGTAAATGTCCAATAATATGCATGTACTGTACAGTATACTGTATATCTGAAAGTTGTTTATTGTATCTACTTTGACAACACTGTAATCCATTGGTAATGCCAACAAAGGTATCTGAATTTGAATTTGAAAATAAAGTAGGAGAGTTAATGTATAGTTAAAAAGAAATGGAGAGTTAGCGTGCTAGTGCAAAACAGAGAAAATAAAAGGCCCTAATACAATTATTCAAAATCCTCAAAGGAACAGACAAAGTCAACCCAGTGGATTTCCTGCAAATGAATAGGGAAACATGAATCCAAGAGCACAAAGAAAAACTGCATTAAAGTGCATTTAAAACCAAACATAGGGGGCACCTGTAGGATGCAAGAAGTAAAAGAGTAGCTCAGTGATGATGTGAATGGATTTATTCTAGGAAAAGAATATCTGGAGAGCAAAGTCAAGGAAAGTTGGAAAATGAGTTTAGGATGGTAACAATACCTTTTTAAATTAAGGACTAATAATTAAGGTACAGTGGATTTCATATATAACAATATAACTACACCTCACACTACAGCAGGAAGGACTGGTTACTGTAAAGAAACCTGTTGAAAAAATGGAAGAAAATCAGATTTGAACATTTAATAGCAGTGAGTGCACGTAAAGTATGAAGTCTTAAAATTATTTGTTTTATTTTTAAAAGTCAGTTAGCTTGAATTAAAATTAGCTTGACTTGACAAATTATTTGATGCAAGTTATGTATGTTTCCCATTCTGCTACTTTGCTAACAGTTTTAAATTTAGACTCGAAACCTTGTTCTTTATAAACAATTTTATTTAATTGGCATCTGTCTGCTTCTTTGCATCTTCTATTACATTCTAAACTCTTCGATTTCTTTGTGCTAATTTTTTTTGTTTTTTCTTGTTTGTACTTTTCTGTAAAGAGCTTTGAGAAGTCGTGGCAAGTTTTAATAAAAGACAGTGTCTTAATACAGAATATGTACTTTGTTCATTTGCATTTATTGTATGTGTATTCCAAGGTTAGTGCAAGCACCTTGTACTAAAATATGCAGCAGGATTAGTATTCAAGTACATAAATTCTAATTGTGTCATTTGGTAAATGCAATTCAAAATCTTGCATGTGGGGATTTTTTTTCTGCTTAGTCTCCAAACTATTAATTTAAAGTACATATTTCAAAACAGATGGATCTGGTTAATAAGTATCTACTATCATCACAAAGATGCATCACAAAGACTGATGTACTGTATTTTATTGAATACAAATCTCATTTATTCCGAATTAGGATTGATGTATTTCAGCTACTCTTTGATGTCTGACTTAGGGGGTAATGTTGAAGTGCAAACAGATGTTGAGAGAGCAACATACAGTATATAATTACCAATTATAATCAAACATCATGACACCAGGGATAGAATTTAGTCTGTCAGTCATTCATAGTAGCAATACCTCGTGTAGGTCAAATATTTTAGGTCTTAATAAATCCCAGTCAATTAACATTTACAGTATTTGGTATAACATTTCACTACATAACGTGAGTACAGACAATGTAGTATTTTTCTTTGGCTTGGACTAAATAATGCTTATAAGACTTACTTGTACTCATTGTATACTTCATTTCTATATTTTATTCTATGCTATTACTGTATTATTAATTGATCTGAAATTAAAAGATTTTAGAATTAAAATCACTACCTAAAGTGTGGTATTACAGTAGCTGAAATGGCTTTAAATGCAACATTTAACCTGAGAAACAGATCTGAGAGGTACTTCCTGATTTCCATCTGTCAACAAAAAATGTCCAGGGACATGTTTTCAAATGATGGAATCAAATATAATAAATCTGAATTTTGATTATAGCACCTTAAGATTTCATTTTTAATCTTCAGCAGTGGTAAACTGAAATTACCAGAGCCCACTGGTGACTGTTGGTCTTGATGTTTGGTGAAAATATTACATACCACAATGTACAGTAAGATGACACAGATAATGTGCTATACATTATAAGGACAGGAAAGAGTTCTCCAAATTAAAGATCTGTCATTTCAATGAATTTACTTTAATTTCACTGAAGTGTTCATGTACTGTGCAGAAAGAGCCAATCAATCAAATATTACATATCATAACGATGAGTCTGATAAGCGGTGCCAGTGACAAATCTTATGACATAATGGCATCAGACGTCACGTTTTCCAGCTTTACATGCCATTCTGTTAACAGCATCACTCTCACTTTATGTTTGCCACTGTCGTCTAAATAAATATTTCATCCCCAAAAGCAGAATTACAACACTGAGTGAATCTATATGTATTTAATGTCATTAATAGTATCGATTCTTACTTTATCATTATTTAGCTTGTGCAGTATTGCAAGATTACAAAATATCTTTGCATATTTAAAAAAAGCTTTCTAAACAATGTGGTGCTTCCTTTTACAAGAATCTTATCCCAATAGAAATGTCTGCCACTCTACTGTCAGTTTAATATTTCAGACACAGATGACTAAAAAGCAACATTGTCATTAGGAATGGCTGCAACCAACTTTAAGAGGAGAAATGATCTTCCTACACAACAGTGGATTTTGAAGTTCATTGTAATGAGTATCATTTTATTTTTGCTGAGCAGAAACTCAGGTCCTTATTAATCTGAAACTTTGTTCAAGAGATAACAACTTCATTAGATGCTAATGAGACCATTTCAAGTTCATATGAGCTGTGAACATGAGTGGACTGGCATGACAGACTGGCACTTAACATTCAGTAAAATAATGCAGCTACAGTACATTACTATGAATTCAAGAACATTATGTTTCAGGAACAGTGTGTATTGAATTCCCACATATGGTGAACATACTTATTTCCCTGAAACATACCCAATTACTGTAATCAAGCATTACATAAATTACATTGCATTCTCATTTTAACTAATATGAAAGTTCAGTTTATTTATTTTTGTAGTCATGACCAACTTCAAGATATGTTTGGGTCATATACAGTATATTGAATATACTACATATCTTGAAAAAAATGTTAAGTTGAAGACATATCCATAATATGAAAAAATAATGTTCTTTTTTCCCTTTTACTGCCTTTAGGAATATGATGATGGATATGGAACAGCTTATGATGACCAAGGATATGACAACTATGACAACAGCTACAACAATCAAGGACAAAAGTAAGTTTGATGCTGGATTTTCAGAGATCAAAATAAGAGTATTCTTCTGGTCTTGATGCCATCTGTGTCTTATGTGTTTCTATGAAGATATGAATTGTTCTCTCATTTATTGTGCTGCACTTATGGTCTCCTTGTTTGATATAAAAAGGAATTGAAATGGAACTAGAATGAATATGTAAGATTAGGTAGCTTGTTTCACTCACTTCCAATATTTCTTTAATTTTTTATTTCCTTATTTCTTTTATTTTAGAATGTGTCCTTAATCCAAATCTTCAGCTTTTGTATCTCTAACATCAAGAAATGCACAGAGAATAATATTGTGCTGTACTTTGCAATCAGTTTTTGACTAAACATATTTTAATTAGATCTTTGGAACTGATAATAACTTACATCGGAACAAATTAAAATATTTTTTTTCTTTCATTTCAATAGTGATTTGATATAGTGTATTTTTTTCAAAAGGCATTTCTATTAAAATGCTTTACTTTTACATTATAAAGGTTTAAGAATTCAGAATGTTGTCACATCTGATTTTATTAAGCAGAGCCAGATAAAATCGCTTTTCACTTCCCATGGAGAGTCATTATTTTTTGCTATTACTAGCTCGGCAGTTGAGAGATGCGATGCATCAGAAAATACTAAAAAATTCGGTCTGTTCCTACTCAGTTTTTAATGCAACTGTTCAAAATGTAAGAGTGCAATTCTGAAGTGAATAATTAATTTAAACATGATAAAACTATAGTGATTCAAGTCAAATGCTGAATGAGAGTAAAATGAATTTGGGATGTAGTAAACAAAAATAAATTATTGAATGGTATTTCTGAAGAATATGCATTTCACATATAGGCACATGTAAATTTGACAGTTGTATCTAAATGCCATCTGCAGTGGAATGTTATGTTGTAAATTGTCTAGTAGATCCTCACTAGATTATAGTTGCGTCCTTTCTTTCTCACTACTACCTGTTTACTGTGCTTCTTATCAGGGATACATGTCAGACTATATCAGGTATTAAGACATCAGTGATTCTGGAATTTTAAGTCCGTATTTGACAAAAACCAAAATCCAAAGAGGCCTGTTTACATTTACTTCTTGTTTTACTTTGTACTTGCTGTTGAATGGTTTAATGATTTTTAATTTTTCTGATATTTTCCCTTTTCCGCACTCATGTATTATCCCATTTGAGATTAAGTAGCTTTGAATAGAGTGTATTTAGAATAGAGACTGTAAACAGTCAGTGTATCATATACCGCCAAAACATATAGTATGAATATTTTATAAACCTTGTAACAGAATGGGGGGAAAGAATAGAAGGCGAGGACATAGTGTGGAAAGTTTTGTGTCCCTGGCAATTTTAATTGCCAGTTGGCATTTGCTGGGGACAACTGATCTTTAAAATTGGTGATATGTAGTGATTTTCTACTTCTTTCCATCTCTTGTGTATAATAACGTGCAGAAATCACAGTTCTTTTGTTTGAGACCTGTACCTGGAGCAATGTCTGAGAAGGAAAAAAGGCACAATAATGGTAATGTTGACAGCTGTAGCTTACAAGCAGAAGAACATAAAATGCTACAGAATGTTAATCTGCTGTTTAAAAATATAGTCAGTGAAGGGATTAACCCCACTGGCTTAATAGATAGGATTCTCACAATGAGTATAGTTAGGACTCCTGTGGGAGATAGTTCTATGTTTTTTTTTTTCTAATTCTGACCAGAATAAAATCTATCACTGCAAAAACAGAAGCACTGTTGTAAATAAACACTGTGATGCCAATCCAGAATTGCCAGATTTTGTGTACAATTTCGTATGTACGATAGAGTAGTAAAAGCCAGCCTGTTGCTACCAGCTAATCCCTAAGCATTACAAATGTAGAGTATATCTTAAAATATGTTACAGATCCTCTATTTTAAATATAGATTTTAAATGGAACATGATTTTCAACAAAGGATATTGTGTATTTTTTTTTTGCATTTTAGTTTCCAATACCTTACTGCATTTGATTGTACTTCCTTGGGAGCTGTCACGGAGTATTGATTTTTTTACAAATGCCAGGAAGCTATCATTTGCTTAGTGTCATATAAGGTCAACGGCTTTGTTTTGGGTTGAGGCGTGCTTGTTTCAGTGCGTTTCTTTGTTTGATCAATTGAGTTTTTATGTGTGCTCCAGGTCTTGACTTCATGGAAGCTTTCAACAAGAAAACTGTACTTAAGTTAAGACATTATTAGAATGAGCTGCAATGGTAATGGAAGCTTAAAACCAAAAGACTGTATTACCTTGTTTTGTGCTTTTCTGAGCGTGATGTTCAATGTTTTGTTTGTCTCTAGTTGGAGACAGGATTTCTGAAGGATTGTGTCTCTAGGCCTTCTCCATGGATTCATTTTTGAAAAGATTCATTTTATACAGTGTAGGTCTGAGGGGCACATCTGGAATTGCTAGCTGTTAGATGTGCAAACTGTGCTGCTAAAAACATGCCTGGAGTATTCTGCTATTTGTTCTAAAAGCAGCATCTCAGATAATGGCAGTAGCTTAAGGCAAAAAAAAAAATAGATTCCATCATGAGGGATAAAAAAGCTAGAGGCCTAACAGACTAAAAAAAGATTTCATGTGGCTATAGACTTGGTATTTAATTGAACTAAGACTACTCAGCCATCCCTTTACAGAGTATTTGTTTTCTACAGTAGTTAGTTTAGAGGTTAGAAATGTACAGGAATACTTCTTTTTTCTTTTGCTTTAGTCCAAATTGTGTCAAAAATTTAGAAACTCACTATGAAAAAAGCACACAGTGCCTAATTCGCCTCGTTTGATATTTTATTGTATTAGTGCCTTTGAGTTTCATTTATTTAAATGAGGATCTACACAGCATACTCTACATGCAGAAAAATGAAATTAGAAAAGGTCTAATTTAATTTAATTTAATTAGAATGGTCTCCATCTCCCTGACCTCCCAGTTGAGGTCTCTCTCAACTTTGCAACACATGAAGATTAAGCAATATTTGACTTTTTATTTACTTTGCAGAACTTTGCAGAACCCTTCAAGTTATTGGGGAAACATTATTGTACAACAAACTTCAAGTCATGCCTCAATTTACTGTATGACTTGATAGCCCTGATTTAGATAAGGGCTTTGACAGACCCACTCAAGCATTTTTTGTTGCTTAGCCATAGTGTAGATTTGGCTGTGTGCTTTGGGTCATTGTCATGCTAAAGAATGAAATTCCATCTCCATTTCCACTTTCTTTCAGAGGGCAGTAGGGTTTTCCTGAAAAACCTTTTCTCCATTTTGCTCCATTGTTTTTCCCTACTATCCTGACAAGTGCCACGGACCCTGTTGGCTAGAAATATCCCCATGACAAGATGCTACCACCACTATACTTTACAGTAGGGATGATGTTTTCAGGTAATGCCCTGTAGATTGTAAGCATAAAAGTTTGTAGCTTTTCCAAAGCTGTTTCTTTGCAACCCGTTTGATCAGTCTCTTTCTTGCTTAGTTATTCAGTTTGGAGGGATGGCCTAATCTAGGAAAGGTCTTGCTTGTGCCATATGCATTACACTTCTTAATAATAATCTTAATCATGCTCCAAGGGGATAATCAAGGCCTTTTGATTTTTTATACACATCCCCTAATCTGTGCCTTTTTCCACAACTTTGTCCCAGAGTACTTTTGAAAGCTCCTTGGTGCTCATGGTTGAGTCTTTGCTTTGAATTGCACGACCCAGCTGGGGAACCTACAGGAGCTGTGGAATTTCTCCTGAAATCATGTGGATTATTACAATTTTAACAAAGATTAAGACCAATTAACATGGTATGTGACTTTAAAGGCAATGCGTTACACCTGAACTAATTCATTTGCTATAACAGTGTTGGTTAGATATTTCAGTATTAATTTTTAGTTTTCTAAAAAATCTAGAATATGTTTTTTTACTTGGAAGTTGTCAGGATGTTAAGATAAATTCAAAAAATAAATAATTGCAGGGTGTAAGACAACAAACAGTGTAAATTGAAAGGGGGTGTATATGTATATGTATATGTATTGCACTGTATACCTAATGTGTATGCTTCAATGTATACAGTATGTATTACACTGTATACAGTACAGTATGTACAGTAAGCAGAAATGGTAATGGAACAAGGAGAGGTAGCCCTAGATTAATCTTCAGCTTACATTTACTACAGTCTGTTTACAGTCTACAACCTACTGTATGTTACATTTACTATGATGTAACAGATAATTAAAAAATAAACTGTAGAATCAGTCAAAAGCAATTTCTGTGTGACTCTGGAAAAACGAAAGTATTTTTTCCCAGGTTTGTTCACAACTTGGGATGCGGTTGGGGATGATATTTCACCCACAATTGCTTTTTAAAAACATAATCTTGTTTGGAAGGGGAGGTTGTCATGAAATATGTGGTCACACATTTTGGCCATAAACAGAACATTTTCTCATGACATTTATAGTCTGTCATGTTAAAAATGATATGAAGGAAACTTGTGTTTAACACAGTTCTGTGAATGAGATCTACAGCTCTTTGTAAAAAAAAGGATTGAAGGAATATCACAAAAGGAAACATTTCTTGCTCCTGGACATAAGATTCTCAAAAATCTTTATTATATATGACAACAGAGCAGAAAGACACCCGTTTTAGCTAAATAGCTGCAGCATAATAGCAGCTGTCAAAAGCTTCAGTTGTTGCCTTGTGTGGATTTTTCATGACTCAAAATATTATTGTCATATTCCATACTGATTGAAATTCCTGAAGGCTTTCAGTATTCTTTTCATGATGCTTTGTTTCCTTTGTTCTTGACATTTTGCCTTTAGTGTAAGTGCATGCACAGTGACGTACACAAATCCTGATACACACATGAACACTACTTATCCCTTACAGCTTTCTAAAAGATTAAGATATAATATTCCACAAACTGATATTTAAAAAGGAGTCTTAGGACAAAGATTGTTTTTTAATACATGATACCCAGATAATGTTTCTTGACTTTAATTACAATAGTGCATTAAAGCTTTGTAAATGCCTACTTCACAACAGCTGAGTGGCACTAAAATTGCTCATTCTTGTAAGTGTTAAAAAGATAAAAAAGTTAGCAATTGGTAAGCAATTAGATGCTTACATGAAGAAAGCAAGTACTGTATTCTTATTTGTTCCAGAATTTCACAATGGCATGTAGTAAAAAGACATAAACGTTTAGAGAAAATGTGTTTATTCAGGAAACATAAAATGCAGAATTTAAGTTGGAGTCATATTTTTTCATCCTTCTTTTATTTCTTTTAGCAAGGTTGCAACATCATTTGGATATTAGCCTTATGGCCCTAGTCTGCAGGATTATATGCTATTCCAGGAACAGATTGTGCGAGGTAGACAATTGTGTATATCAGTGTCCAAGTGAAGTGGGTCTGACTAGGAGGCTTTCAAATCTCCCTAAGGGAAATTCAAACTTGATCTTTAAAGTCTATGGGGTCAGGGCAAGGTAGATTTGCATTACCTTGACTCTCCCTGCATGTATGTATTGCGTTTACAGTATGCCATGTCCTGGTGTAGCATTGTGCATAAAACCACTGCTTTTTTTGGGAACATGAAAATAAGAATGGACTAGTGTACTGTTTTTGGAGAATTGTGATACATCTGCCGAATGTGATTTTCCTCACAGACCACCTGCTATAATCCCTTCGTATCCCTAAATATACCCCCCATCATAAATACACATAGATACACAGTATTGCACAGGAAGGAAACGACATAATAAAACTAAATAAATGGAAAGAAACAGTAAGTTTGTTAAGTGCTTGTTTTACAGAGTTTTGGTTCAGACACTTTAGTATTTGTGTCTATGAGTATGAATATGAATCTTGTTTAGTCTTGGAATACCTTTGAAGAAAAAATCACTGTGGATGCTCATAGTAACACACACAATAAGAGGTGATTGATTGTAATGTCATTATGTATACTGTGCTTCCCTTCACCTGCCTGTGTATTATGGACAGGTGACCTTCATCTGG